GGAGGAGGGTGAATCTGAGCGGCCTGGCTGCAGGCCTGGGTGCTGTCTCCTCAGAGCTCACGCTGAGCAATTCTCACAGCGTGGAGGGAAAACGGGCTGTGCCCCCGCAGTTAGCCATTAGGATTTGGACAGGTTGGAGAGCCCAGCGTGCCCTCCTGCCAGGGACCCAAACCCGACACGCTCGGTAGCGCGGTTTCCACAATTAGCAGGCGTAACCATCGCCCTTGGGGGAAGAACGAGACCCTCACAGAGCCAAAGCCGCCATCTGAAAGCAGCTGCGCCCTTCTTTTGCATGCACATTTCACACGCTTCTTTTCCTAGGGAAGAATCTGATTTTTATTTTTATTTTTTTCTTTCTCAGTACCTTGCCAGCTGAATCGGGAGAGGCACGACGCTGCAGCAGGAGTTTTGCCACTTCCAGGCTCCCATATTTGGCCGCCACATGCAAAGGTGTGAATCCCTTCTGAAAATTTCCAGGAGATAAAAAGCAGATGCTTGCGTTAAAGCCCATGCTGACGTCTCTCTTTTAAGAGCTATGTATTACGTGCTTACTCATCAATCTATATTCTAGCTCACAGAATCAACAGCCATACCTAGAAAGAGCATCTTCTCTTGAAAGCACTTTGAGAAGCATAAAATACGAGAACATACTTTCCCTTTTATTATTCTTTCCTATGTACGTGCTGTCAGGCTGGCAGACATTTTATCTGATACAGACTCTACTAGCAACATACACTGTGTGTGGGCAACAAAGGCGCTCGTTCAAATTTCTTCACACCAGCTGCACTTTTTAGGTTTAGGATGACAGCTTTAGAAATATTTCCTGTATCAATTGTTGCCAGCAACAATGAAACACCAACTAAATTCAGGGAGAAAAGCTCCACGCTTTGTCTTCCTCCTTTAGAGTTTGTTGAAGAATGATTTATATTTGGACTTGTGTATCCATACTAAGTCACTAAGTTCTGCTGCAGCCTCTGAACCGCAGCTAAAAAACCAGTCATGCCTGAGTCAATGGCAGTGCTTTTGGAAATACATTACGGCAAGACTAAAAGTCTTATCTTCTAAAAAGAGTCATTTTCTGTTATTTTTAATAATGCTTGTCCGTACAGCACAGGTGTAAGGTCTATGCCAAACTAACATGCTCTTTACCTGTTCTTTTAATTTAAAAAAAAAGTGTTGATGAGGAAAACTCACGGATGCAAGACAGCAGGTGGCAGGCTGCACCACCACCCTGACAGTCAATCCAGGGAGCTACAATGACCTATTTGCCTGACAAATAAGTGATGTGTAACGTTTATTATCATTATCATCTTGTTCCACTAATCCCACCTCAAAAAAAGTTTACGTCAGGGAATCTCAAACATTTCCAGTTCATGAATCACAGGTTTGTAGAGAGATTATCTGATGGACTACATCTTCTCCTATTCATAATTACGAATGTTCCTGCAGTACCAAAGCAATTGCCATAAAGCAATATGGGAAATTAGGAAAGTATTTAATGTATTTTTAGCCATTTTAATGTGATTTAACAGCTGGAGAAAAGGAGCACAGCAAGCATTCCCAGTAATCCGTGGATCATAATTTGAAAATTGCTGGTTTAGTCTTCTAAAACCTGGAAGACATTCTGTTGTTCAAAAATATGTTTTAAGCTCCAGCTGTAAAATCGGGGTACTTTTTTAAGACAAAAACAATAGCGAAAATTCAGTGATTCTCAATCACATGCGATAAATTTGGAAGAAATATCTTGCAACATCATTCTATTCACAGCTATCTGTTTTCTTACGCGTTCATCGCTCTGCTAGGAATCTATTGGTAAACACTTTTGGCTAACAAAGCAATAATCATTCTGCAGACTGTTTCTTTTATAACCCCAGACAAAATGGCCTATTGTGTCATATGACGCCTCATTTACAGAACCACTGTAAATTCAGCATTTACAGATTCAGCATTAGATGCGACTGGACAGATGCTGACTTGTATGTTTTAGGAACATTTCTTTCAGCTAGCACAGACCAGAAATATTTTACTATTTAAATAAACAAGGTATTGAAGAATAAGCAGGCCTGTTCATAAAAAAAGTGTCGTTGTCATCCTCTTTTCTTTTTTGAAAATTTTGCCCAAAAAAGCCCTACCCATAACACAATGGGGAAGAGAGAAAAGAGGACTTCGTGTACATATTAAGCCCATCAGGACCAGCTGTTTATCACAATCTGCATTTGGCTCCAGCGGGAACCAAACTCCCAACTTTACATGACAGGAAAATATGTCAAAATTTGATTAACTTCTGATACATTACTTCAGTCTATTGAATCGCTGCGGATTACGTAAGAACAAAACACAAGACCCAAACTAGCTCAGTTTGTCAGTGCGAAAGCGCATTCCTCGGGGAACGCTGGCGCGCGCTGCCTGTGCTACTGGAAGCCAGACGTAAAGCATTTTGTCTTACTTTGGTGGACATGGAGTGCGAGGCACCTGCCTCTAGAAGAACGGACGCGACATCGACTTGTCCCTCTCTGGCAGAGATGTGCAGCGGAGTGTACCCGTTAGTTGTTGCGGCGTCAGGGTGGGCCATGTGCTGTAGCAGGAGTTGGACGATCTCCGTTTTACCCAAGCGAGAAGCAATGTGCAGTGGGGTCTGTTCTTCCTACAACTCAAATCGAGTCGATAATTAGCGCAGGTAGAACCACCCTGAACACGACGTTCTGGGTGATCCCGATAGATCTATCTATGCATTTGTCTTGCAAAAATCCTAAGAAGTAATAGTACAAAAAAAGGCAGCAACGGAGGGCTCATAGGTTAATTTTTGCAGTAAGCTTCAGCAACGTTTTATTAGAGAGAACTATAAAGAAAAACATTGTTTTTTCTTTTATCAAGCTTATCGCGTACATTGCCGTGAGCGTCAGTTGCACCTTGCTCTACAAACAGTCCCCTTGGTTTTAAAATCTGGCGCTGACTGCTATCAGAACCTCCGATGTTTGGTTTTAGGACATGGCTGTGCGCGTCCTTCCTTGCTCAGACAGAATAGCTATCGCTGGTCTGAGCCAGGCTGTACTGGGTCTAGCGAGGATGGAGTTAATTTTCATCACAGCAGCCCATATGGTGCTCTGTTTTAGATTTCTGACCAAGACAGTGTTGATAACACACCAGTCTTTTAGTTATTGCTTACACAGCACCAAGGCTTTCTCTGTTTCTCCCTCTGCTCCCCAGGAATAGGCTGGGGGTGGGCAAGAGGTTGGGAGGGGACACAGCCAGGACAGCTGGCCCAAACTGGCCGAGGAGATAATGCACAGCATATAACATGACGCTTAGCAATAAAACCTGGGGGTGAGTTTTTCCAAAGAAGCCGTTGCTCGGAAACTGGCTGGGAAGTGGTCTGCTTGTGGGAGGTGGTGAGTGATTGCCTTTGCATCACTTGTTGAGGGGAGAGGGTTGTGGGGTTTTTTTTTCCTTTCTCCTTCACCTATTAAACTGTCTTCATCTCAACCCAAAAGGTTTTCTTGCTTTCACCCTTCCGGTTCTCTCCTCCATCCTGCTGCAGGGGCAGCAAGCAAACGACTGAACGGGACCGAGCTGCCGGCCGGGGTCAGCCCACCACACGCATTCTCTTTGGAAGATCTACGCATAAATAGGTTAACCATTTTCAGAACTGGTTTTTAGGTGTGCTTAATATTGAATCAACAAATCAACATAAAAACGAAATTGCTCCTCCCTAGCTCCTCGGTTTCAGCCACGTTTTTGAGTATGAGAAAGCAAAAAGAGTTGTAAGCAGAACACCTACCCTGGCTCGAGCATCAACCAGGGCCCCATTTCTCAGGAGGCAGCGAACTACTTCCACCTGCCCAGCACGTGCCGCCATGTGCAACGCAGTTTCTCCACGCTGCGGAAAAGCAAAAGCGTTTCAGTGTCCTAAACTTAACCCCATGAAGAAACAAGAGCTCCAACGGCGTAAATTCCACCCACGTCAACTCGTGCAGAGACCCGCCTTTCCGCCAGCTGAGAATCTGGCTTCAGACCCAGTAACAGGCAGTTCCGAAGGGTGTTGTGCATACACGTCGCTGGGACTGAGTACGCTTCGGTTTGCAAACTCGGTGATCCCAACAAACATAATCTCACCGCAGAGGGTCAGAATGAAAATCCTAGCTTATAGAAAATTCTGCCGTATAGACCCCTCGGTCACATATGTTCCTCAGCTTTCTACACAACCGCGCATCAGCTCGTGTGGCGCACAGGAGATAAGAGTATATCGAGCCTGTCTCTCTCAAGGGATTGCGAGGCACATGAGCCTCAAGATGGAAGGGGATATTTTTCCAGATGGTCTCTTCCTGCATGCTGTGTGGAGCTGGCAGCGTTAAAAGGCCTCGCAATGGCTGTGCACAACCGAGCCAGCATGTGAAACGTCTAAAATCTGTGCTCAGCAGCGTGGCTCTGTCTGCAGGCTATGGAAGGAATCTTGTTTCAAGCCTTTTGTAGCCCACAGAATCTGAAGGAGAATATGAAATTTTGGAAAGCTGACTGGAGTGATATGGAATTTCAGATCAGGATAACAAAGTACGGATGATACATCCAAAGCATTTACTTTTTGCACAGGTATGCAAAGGAACACTGGAAGCGCGTGTTCCTTGATGACGGCGTTTCTGGCTTAATTTTGCACTGTTCGGCACTCTTTGAGCGCACTGTCCTAAAGCGGACTGAACCAGGCCCTGCGCAGCTCATCTGGTACATTAGGCACCGGGACAGTTCTGCAACCAGGAGCTCTGGGTTTATCCGTTGTGTTACGAAAACGCAGCAGGACCGATCACTTCTTTCTGCTAATCGTTCCTTCTCCTTACGCACACCCTGGTCAAAATCTTTTTTTTTTTTTTTTTTGCATCAGAATCAGGAATTATGTCATCTTGTCCTTTGTCTAGATGCAGGAAAAGAAGCAGCCTGAGCTTGCCTGCTATTATGAACTTCTAATTAAAGCAAACCCTCTTCGCTGGGAGCTGATTTATCTTGACATTTTAAAATTAACATTGTATTACCAGCTGTGATTAGGAAGCAGCAACAAACAAAATCCCGCAGCCCTAGCTACAAATCTTAATAGAGAATTTCATCTATATAAACTTTACTACCTGAAAAACGAGCTGTTTAAAATGTGAATAAGGTTTACATTTCACACACTCTAAAGATCAAATTTCTATCAAGACCCTTTTGGCCCTGAATTAGCAAAGCAATTTAGCTTTTGGAAACAGTTAGTAATTCAACAGGGAACTTCAGCTTACCAAGTAAAGGCCAAGACACCTGTGTAGCATAAATTGTAAAGTGTTAAAATTGCACACAAATGTCCGGTAATGCAATACTTCTAATGGCTTCCACAAGAATTTCTTGTTGGCTTTTATATCATCAATAAAGTTTTTATATAAAGATTGCTTCTATTAAAAAAAAAAAGTGTGAAAGCAATAAGAGACTTGGTCAAGAAAAGTCTGTTCTAATGATTCAAGCAAACAACTCGGTGCACTAAACATTTTCACCAGGTTCCACCTAAGATTTTTCTAACTGAGAATAACTGAGGAGTCCAGCGTACCCAGATTACTAAATTTTTATCACTGTTTTGTTGTTGGGAACACTTATCTATAACCTTATTGACTGGTAAAAAGCTGCTTTCAAAGTGCAGATGGTCATAACTTGAATATTTGTTTACACTGCTGAATTTGAACAGTAAGGTATCTATGAAATACAGCTCAGAAAACGATCTTATTCTTTTTATTGTTGTTATTCTTGGTAACCAGGCTATTGGTATACAAACACTGATTTCTATGGTAAGTCAGGTTCTGCATTTTATGTTACCTCCCAAAGGTCACATTTTCTAGATTTTAAGCATGTTCTTTCGACAGGCACCAGTTCCTGGAATTTCCTGTGTAAGAGGAACATCTTGAGTTTAACATTTTTAACTTTTTTGTTCAATTTTTAGGTTTTAAGCACTTTGTACCCTCTCACTGACACAAACGACAGAATTTCACGGCAGCCAGCGAAGCTATGCAAGCAGAAATTCGAGCCATTTGGACTAAAATTTCATCCTTCAGAACGGAAACACAGTCTTCCCCGTGACTTGGCTTATCATCAGGTTTGGATGTATTTGGTGAGCTTTGTCTGTTTCTAAGGGAAACTTTACCTACTCCAGCATTGCCGAACAACACACGAAACCACAGACGGCTTACAACGCGCACACGATCACCGTTTTCCCCCCTCTTCTCTACAGGCGCTAGGAACAATTTGTCCTAAAATGCATTTAAGCCAGAAAGAATCCTTAAAATGTGACCTTTGGTTGAGCTACACGGTAGGCCAGACCCTTTTGGGAGGAGGTGACGCAGAGATGATTCTAGTCAAAGCCATACTCACAATGTTAGTGACATCGGGAGAGGCTCCGTTCTGCAGCAGAAGGAGGACTATGTTCAAGTGGCCCATAAATGCAGCCACGTGTATTGGTGTGAGGCCCGACTGCGAAACAAAGCAAGAGCAGTTTTACTCCTCTGCACGGGCGTAGAGAAGGGGCTTCTTCGTTTAAATAAAACATAAGTGGAAGTGAGGCATGATAGGAGAGAGAAAAAAGGAAGCAAGAAGGGAGAGAGAGAAGGAATGTTTCTTCAGGACATGAAACATTTTTCTACCTCTGTTATAGCCTGGATTGAAGCCCCATATTTCACCAGGAGTTCCATGACTTTGATGCGATTTTTCTTGCAGGCAATGTGCAGTGGAGTAAAACCATTCTGTGCAAAAGACAGTCACGTTAGTTAAAAACATGCAGCTACACTTTCCACACAGCTCCATGCTGGCACACCCAGCGCAGAAGGGTTAGAGTACCAGAAGCAATCGTTCTTTAAGCACAACGGGTTATGAATTACAGGCGTCTCTCCCAGTAGGCTGAGACGGAACAAAGCAGTGCCGCTGCTTTCTTCTTAGGCGATGGAGAGAAAGTGAACTTCCACCTCCAAAAACCACACACAGACATGCCCGCTCTGACTCCCAAGTGTATGCGTGCGTGCGCGTGCGTATGGAGGCGGTTCTGAAGTCTGCACGCGTGTAAGTCTAAGGATGACTTAAAAGTGCTTCCCAAGGTTGCCTAACCCACGGAAAATACAAGAAATGATAGTGATCGCTTTGAAATCAGGCACTGGCTTTCGAAATGTATAAAGCACATTCTATACCTCTCTAGGAAAAGAGCAGTGTACTTCCTGATTCTGCCCTATTTTATTTGTCTTTTTAGAGTATCTTGTAATCTAAGCATCTATGTGTATTTATTTTTGTATTTATGCATCAATCTACAGTACACTGTATTCATGTTTGGGGGGGGGGGGGGGGGGGGT